GGGACTTCAGTGTCGTTGACACAGGGCTCATCGAGCACGGAAGTCGTTTTGTTCCAACGCAGTGTCTAGCGGACACGCAAGCCTCTTTGAAGCAATAATCGATTGGAGCTGTAAATGTTCTCAGTCTTAATGGGGGAGAGTGTAACGGGGTACGCATACCCTGGTTACAGATGTGTATCACACCAGATAAGCATGGTGTGACCACACCCAAACAAGAATACGGTACGGGGCTGGATAGCCAGTAGTTATACATGTATTTAGGTTTTATTATACATATTCACGAAAATCTATGCATTTAAAATTGGGCGGTTTTGCCGCGGAGAAAAATAAATAAAGTCAGTTTTGGAGTAAGCGGATTTCGATCCGCTAATCTCATACTTGTTCTGAGTATAGAACGAGAGGTGACCTAACTTACGCTTCCTCAAAGCGCAAAGCTACGGCAGCCCGCTGCAGTACCGGCAAAAGCCCAAAATGTGGAGCGGGTGGGCTGTGCATTTACCGGTGACACTGTATGTAGCAGTAGCGAGAAGATTTTGCTCAATCAGTTTACAGAAAATACCATGCAGGTATTTTAAAGCAGTAAATATCTGTTGCTACATATCGACTGAATGGATAAAGGTTCGAAAGTCTATACGCTTTGGCACATTTTGTGCGTGCGTGCAGTAGTGCTGTACATCTTGTACCACCAGAATGGCTTGAGCCGACAGTGCTTCTACTTCATTCCAAAGAGTAATTTTGCAAAGACGGATAACCTAACTGTGACAAGTATGGCGTTGACCTTTAAAATTCGTAATGACGCGAACTTCGAAATAAAATTACAAGAATCTTCGAGCCGTGCAAATGTACCCCGTATCCTATGTTAGCATACGATTTCTAAGTTTGCACCAGATTATACAATAATAACATTTCTAGTAAGCTAGAATTACTATTTTGGAAATCTACGACAATTGATGTAGCCCACACCACCACACAATGTTCAATGTCCCGCTCCGCGCTTACAAGACACGCGCTCCAGAAGTCTCTCCGCGTTCAAAACGAACCTGATGAACCGCCTGAACAGACAGAACGTCACGTCAAACAAGATGAACTATCAATGTACGTACTGGTCTTGAATATGGATCGAAAACGCCAAGCAATTACATCTCGTTCTTGTATTCGCTCACATATAGTCACGGCAATGACACAACGTATAACTTGAATACGCTACTTCACCAAAATATACTTCAATCCGCATATTTTCATGAACTTTACAAATTTAAAACATATCACGAGGTTGTGGATGAAATTTACTATCGAGTTGACCATGCTGGTAAGAACAAGCTAAGTTGTTAATTCCTGACTGGATAATTATCTCATTTTGCTTCTGATTAGAACCCTGGTCGCCTGGTACGGCACGCATTCCGTCAAGTTGTTTTTGTTTGCTGCACAAGTTTTGTCTTATGCGTCTCACGCGAAAGCAAATGCAAGGGCTTTTACGACACAAGGTGAGCGAAACATTTGTATCAAGACTTTATTTTTGACTAACACGTATATTGGCAGGATTCACCGTACATTCGCGTGGTTGGATTTTTATATCTTCGCTTTACATGCGATCCTGATGAGCTGTGGACATGGTTTGAGCCTTATTTGGAAGATTCTGAGGAATTTAACGCGTCAGCAAATCCGAGCATAAAGACGTGAGTTCAAAGGACTATGTGACATGGGTTGGTAAGAATGACTGCTGCTGCTATTGTGGCTATCTTGGCGTGATTGCAGCATGCAGTCGACTGTTGTCTGTGCTAATACAATTGCAATTGCAATGTTTTTTCATTTTTTTGATCTTCAGAACGATAGGAGAGTGGTTGATTCGTCTACTGGAAGAAAATAATTATTTTGGCACGATTTTACCACGAATTCCAAAGAAGATTGAGGATGGTATTAAAGTGAAGGTACGCTGCTTGCGATATTGTGAAGGACCGGAACTCGGCGGAGGGTTTAGCTTAAGACGTGCCTTGTTCGGTGGGGGGTTCTGTTCACCATTATTTATTTGCCAAAAGGGAGACTGTTCTAAAACAAATTATTCTAATCGGGTATTTGGCTACTATTTTGTACTCTTTTCTAGCTTCTACTGTTATCTCGTAAAAAGAAACGTGCAAAAGAGAATTTGGCTATCATCAGCCATCTCAAACCAGGCACAAAAGTCCGATCAATGTATGCAGATGAAGAGAATGAGCCTGCGGTAAGATGCGAAGTTCATCAAGCGTGGTTGTGCTAAGATGTTGATATATTTGAATGTGAACACTGTTCTGTAGATGTACGACGCGGTCATTGAATCAGTAGAGGAAGGCAACCAATTTTGGGTAAGTTTTGCGATACACAGTGCGTTTGTTTGAAAATTCTTTTTCACGTACAAGCTGATTGGTTATGCTACCAGGTTTCGTTTCCAGCATATGGAAATACAGAGAAAGTGAGTCTTGGAGATATTGAATTCACCTCGGGTAAACAACACCGTGAACGCTCGCCCGCTCGTTCCGGTTCTGCCAGAAGATCGTCTTCGCGCTCACGAGGGCGTGACAGAGGCCGCGATCGAGACCATCGCCGAGATCGCAAAAGACGAGAGAAAGACCGGCATTATGGCAGTAACCGAGACCGCTCGCGATCGCGCGTTCGCTATCAATCTCGAAGCCGGTCGCGGTCGGCTTCGCGTGATCAAAGCAGACGTGACCGCAGCCGAAGCCGCAGTCGTAGTTACGCGAAGAACAAATCTGGGTATTTGTTTTGCTGGCTCATTGTATCATGATGGAATTACTAACTCAGAATGCTGTTTTGTTTGCTCACTTTCTTAGAGACAGTGACATCACTGAAAACTTACTACAACAAGTCCGTGAGCGAGAACGGCGCAAAGCTGAGGCTGTCGGACGTGACTATGCCTCGCGACCTGCTAGCTACAAGGGCTCACTATCACTTAAGCTGGATCGCTGGACCACGAGAAAACGATCACGTAGTCCAGTGAAACGAGAGGAGGTGGTGGTGGTGCAGCCAGGAATGTCAAAAGGCGACGAGCCACACCGTAGCAGCTCGCCATCCTCTGAAGAAATCCGTATGGCTGAGAAGCGTTTGGAAGAACTTCGAAAAATGTACGGTGATGCATCCTCGAAAACAAAGGATTAACCAGGCAAAGATGTGGCCTGACAAAGATAAGCAGAAAGATATTCCGATTTGCTCAGTTTTCTTAACATCTTTCAATTATTCTTAGAGTTTGAGGACTTGGTGTTATCGAATTCAGTCACTCGAACTCATTTGAGGCTTTCAATCTCTTGCTGACGAATAGAAGTTTTGCTCTTAAATGAACTTGACGACATGCAAATCAAGTTGTATCGAGAACATCTCTTTTCTTCATTCTTCTACTCAGGAGTAACGACAAGAGATATGAGGGTGATGAGGGCGCATCAGTAAAGCTATGATTGATGCCATTCAATGGAAAGGAAATTCTGTCATGGCAGAGACACTTCGTAGGGCAAATCCAGTGCATATTGATTTCCGTTGTGAGCGGAAGTCAAGGTCAATATCCAATGCAGGTGTTAAGGACTAACATAAGAGAGAGTCTAAGGGGTTTAATGCTTTGGCAGAAGATTTTAGTCGATATACGAGAATATGCGGTAAGAATCAAGCCATGCAATATTACGATTAGACAAGCTTCTTGTGGTGCAAATAGCGGCCACAGATCAAGTGGGGGCGACGCTTGTAGTGTTTGTGCGAGGAAAATAGTTGAAAAATGACAGCCTACGGGCAACAACGCCCCAATTGACGTATTGCTCAAAACGCTTTTACGCTTCTCATTTAAGAAATGTTTGCAAATGGTCAGCTGATGGCATATCGAATTTGCTGCCGAGACTCTTTGTGGATATCTTGCAGTAAAGCGACAGGCCATGTTGTCGAGGTACTTCGTCGAGAAACAGGTTGGCTGTATTTTCACCGGTCACATTATTGGTGGCAGCAGCAAAATGAGCCATCTTGCTCAAACGGTCTACAAATACCGAAATATTACTTTCACAGGACGCGTCTTTTCGAGAAACGAACAGAAATCCCCATGTATGGACTGCGAGCTATATGGTGAATCTGGCAGGCTGACCAAAGGTACCGACGCAGGCGGTGAGGGTTTGACTGATCAACACAAATTACACGTGCGCAAATATGTGATTGCCTACCCAAATAAAATATTAGGCCACCAATACATAGATAGCGCTCACTGATTAGTATACATTTTCCGGGGTATCGTGTTTATCGTACAGTATTCCACACTTGAGGTGCCCATCGTACGTCACCACTACACGCTGAGCATTATGTGGGTCAGCACTGTAATACGGCAAGCTTTAATATGAACAATAGCGATGCAGACGTCCAACCGCGCGCTTTAATATAGTGACATCCGAATTCCTAAAAACCCTTGTTCCCATAGCGTTCAGCTGTACAACACATGGTGCGTCCGGGTGGTACATTATACGTGGCGCCGTATCAATTAGCGACGTATATGCGACGATGTTTAGTTGGAAGAATGGAAAAGCACATTCGTTCCCACTGAAAGCAGCCTTGGTATATTCATTACCTATGAAGAATGACCAACTTGCCATTTTCATTGAGAGATGTATAAACAAAATCGCTGTGTGCAATGACACATGGTCTGCTGAGATCACTAGCATTTTAAAGCCAAACAAGTGGACCTATAGACATACTTCATTGCGAGGAGCTATTCGTCATGAACATGACTATTCGAATCACCAGCAATTTGCTGGCGAGGCTTATATGCAACTCTATGTTCACGTCCATCGGCATCTGCCTGGATCTATTGCGAAGAATAGATCATCACAGACGACGAAGAACGACCGATCAAAATTAAGGGGTAGAATTGGGACACACATGAGGATCTATTTCACATCCTTGAAGGTCATCTTTCGCTGCATCCAGACACCATTAAATCGTATTTTAGTTGATAACGAGGGATCGTGCCACGCTGGTATAGCTTACACTGTGTACAAGTAGGCTAAACTGGGTCACCTTTTGGGACAGAGATACTGGCCAGTTTACAGTTGCTATCATCCTCACGAGATCTATCCGCAAGGCATGCTACAAAAAAATCAACCTAGAAAGGAGATTTTGTTGGCGCCAGCGACACACCTATCGGCTTTGGCAAATAGCTTATCGAAGTCATACATTTAAACACCGATCGTCAGTACCAAATCTATCCGCCTCACCGCGCTCTGTACATCTGCAACCGAGAACATCGTCACATTAAGTTTGTGCATAACCACGATGAGGACTAAACGACTGCGTTGCCAGCCACTTTCGGAGCATGCTACTTAGCGTATGTGAGGAATTACATTCTGGTATCATTAGTTGATAACGACCATCAACTAAGTCGAGGTTATAAGACAAATTGTAGTCAATTAAGCTGCTCTGCAGCTCATTCTCCCCAGGAACGCTTTTGCGCCGTAATCGTGGCTGCGTTTGGCATACATAATTTAGTAAGTACTTGTCGTTAGAATTTCTGACACAGATAGTCAAAGACAATTGTTGAAGTTTACTTTTTCTTCAAAACCGCTATATGCCTCGGGCAAAGGAAAGCTTCAATGACATCAAAAAATATTCTTGACAGGGCCATTACCGTGTGTCGCAAGTTTTGGTAACGAGAACCAAGTCAATTTCATGATGCACTTCGTATCCGGGGTATGGTCTTGCACTTACCATATCGTAATTTTCTTCATTAATACAAAGAAATGATCACCAAGATTCTTGGAGATAGCTGTACTGCTTCTCGCACTTACTGGGACGTAAATTATGATTAGCATGTAGTCAGTAGCCCATGCGCTCCATGGATTTATCCCTTAAGCTGCCCCATCACTCTCATCCAGCATGTACTAATCGCTGTATTCCATCAGGATTTTTAAAATGTTGGCCCGTGAGCTTCATTCTAGTCCCGCGAAAACCTTTATGCAATATGTACGTACCCCTTGATTAAGTAAATACTTTGTTAATTGTAGTCTGCCCAAATTGTGGTAGATAGATTCTACATCGCAGCTCAAATTGACTGAATGCATTTATCTTTGAATATACCACTATTTTTAGCAAGTGTTATCAATCAGCTTATTCGGCCCTCCCGTGGAATAAAAAAGGCCTGTTAAACGTCGATTTTCTTGCAAATACTAAAAAATCGGTTTGGACGGAAATTCATGCAACTAAATACAAATTCTAGTCTACGCGTATCTATCTGCTCTGGATCCCTTTACAACGGTGACCATTCTGTTGTAATAGAAATTTCTAGCTTGTAGAACTTGTCAAGTAAAAAAGCATACTTCATAGATTTGTGCACCCTACTGAATCTTGTAAGATTTACAACAAACTTCACAGCTCTTTATCTACTGATATCACAATTTCTGAAAATATTATTACATCATCGACATTTAGCTTTTGTCTACAGCTGTTGTGAGCTCTGCAGAATTGGCCAGGTCGCAGCCGACAACATCGACGCCTGATATGAAAGGGACTATTGCAGAACACTATCAACTATCTACAAACACTACAAACAACAAAAATAATCCGTTTTACTACACAGCACTTGCTTAAGGAAGCTTAAAGAATCAACCTTTTATACTCCCGATGAGCAACCGCACACGGCTTTGGCTTGAAAATAATTGGTATATAGTGTCAGGTATAATATAGACTCAGATAATTACTTTGAGGTACGGATTTGTCTACAACCGAAAACGAGTCCATCAAAACGACACAATAACTGATTCATGCAGGTGGCCTAGGTTGCTATTCCTTATAAAACTCTGGTTATGATACAACCGCACTAATACTGCAGCGGGGCTTCCGTAGCTCTTTGCTTAGAGGAAGCTAAGCTAAGGTCACCGACCTTACGTGCTATACTAGAACCAGTATGAGTATAGCAGATCGCAATCTGCTAGCTCAAGAGTACCCACAACCTTAACTTAAAGCAAAACACTCTTTCGCTCAAAATGTAAACTGTATTTCGTTTGTTTTATTTGCGACCAAGCCTATATTCAATTCTATAAGCTTTTCTAATTAAATAGTAAAACCTAATTCAAATCCATGACTAATGGCAGTGTAGCCTCGTAGTGACTTCTTGTTAATTCGTATTCACACCGTTGTGTGGCCACACCATCTTGTGTGACCCACCCCTTCATACAGGTACGTGTAACATGTGATATTGAGTGTGACATTTACACACTAAGGTGCATGGCTACATAGTGCACCACACATCATTGTGCTTATTAACAGGGGTGCAAAAACTCCATTTCTTCCCACCAAAAATAGAGAATATTATGTATGTAAAGACGAGGCAAGGTGAAGTGACGTTTATTCTAATAGCAGGTAGGCTTTTAACCTCTCTGACCTGATAAGTGACTCCAGTTCTGATACCACAAAACTGAATATTCAACTATACAGGGTGTACAGTTAATGCTAGACACATAAAGCGTGTTATGGGACCTAAGCAGTCACACCACTCCTCACTCAATTAACAAAATTTTTCAAGTCTTCTTTAAATTCTTCTTCTGCTCTTCGCCACGCTCTGATTGACTCTCCTTCGAGTGACAACCCATAAAATTGCCCCACATGGTATCTTCGCCACCATCGAGCTCGAATAATGTTCCAATCTCGCGTTATCCAGCGCGTTTGCTCAATCGTGAACTTGATCGTAATGATTACTTTCACGACTGACGTGGTGGTGGCGCTACCTTAGAGTTAGGCAAAATCTTTTGTCGAATGGGTGCTCAACTGATTGCTTGAATCGCGTATTTACTCGCCATATGACCGATCAGGACGTATGGAGCATACGTCCTGCAATCCCCTTTGATCCCATCCAGACAAGCGACACTCGAATCTAGGCATGGATTCATGCGACCAAATTCGTGGACATCCACCATTCTCAAAGCGCAAGCACCGATGCTGACTTATTGAAAGTACGCAATATGCGCTTTCGATTTGCGCATTCGACAGCGCAAAATCGGGTCCACTCTAAAATCGAGGATGTTCGTGAAGTACGCGCGGTCATCAGTCGACTTCAAGACGAAAGGGACGGATGAAAAAGATTAAGAGATAGCTTCCCTACGCGGAGTCAGTCTTTCGACCCGCATCAAACGCGCGAACGA